CTGCTGCTGTGAGCACTCTGGCAAAATTTGGTGCTATGGTTGATGCACTGAAGGTACTGTGGGCATGATCTTTGCATACTTGTGTCCTGTGGTATCTGGTATGACTACTTTCATTGAAGATGGACTGCTTTCTTACATGAGCTGGAAAATTTATTGTTGCTTTGTGTTGCAGCCACAAATTTTTGTCCTGTTGAGGCGCTGTATCTTTGACAGTGATGATGAGGTGAGCTTCTTTAGAATAGTGCACTTTGCAAAGTTTTTATAAATTGACACGTTCCCTTTTTTAGCATCATACACATCTCATGGAGTCTAAGTACATGAATATGTTTGTGTGCACATGCATGAGCCTCCTATTGAAAGATGCTGTTTGTTTATCATGTTCAATCCTACCTCTTCAAAAACTTGTGTTGTCTTTTCACATGTTATTATTTTGAAGTATCTCCTCTTCCTTCTCTACAGGTTCGTGATAGAACAACACTTTATCTCAGCACACTTGGGGATGATGGTGAAGTGGTTGGAACTGATAGAGACACAAAGACTTTTCTCTTTGGAGACCTGGATATCCCTTTTGTGAATCTGGAGACAAGTTTGAAAAATTATGTGAGTTTTCTGTTCTATCTTACCCATTTTGCACTACTATTGTATTCATCTCATGTGTTTTCTGTTTGATGCAGGAGCCTTCTGAAGAGCCTTTTGATATTGATTCTGTTCCAAAAGAAGTCAAGTCTCAGCCGCTTGCTGAGAAGAAAGCCCCAGGCAAAAAGCCAACTGGTCTTGGTGCTCCACCGGCTGGTCCTCCATCTACCGTTGATGCTTACGAAAGGCTTCTTTCCTCTATTCCAGAGTTTTCGGACTTTGGGAAGCTTTTCAAGGTTCTATATCCAAATTATTTCTTGCCACATTAGCCACATGGCACACCATGTTTTTGAATTGCTGAGTTAGGAATGATTAAATTTGAGCTTTCTGTATTTCTCCTCTTTCTTTCTACAGTCCTCGGCACCTGTGGAGCTTACAGAAGCAGAAACAGAATATGCAGTTAATGTTGTTAAGCACATATTTGATAGGCATGTTGTGTTCCAGTACAACTGCACCAACACGATTCCTGAGCAATTATTGGAAAATGTAATGACATGTTTGGAGAGCTGTATTTACTTTTCTGTCTACTCGGTTTTATCTTATCAAATTGTTCTGATGACTTCAGGTCTCTGTTATTGTGGATTCGTCAGAAGCGGATAACTTTGCAGAAGTAGCATCCAAGCCTTTACAATCTCTTCCTTATGATACACCTGGACAAACCTTTGTGGCATTTGAGAAGCCTGAGGGAATCACTGCTGTAGGAAAGTTTTCAAACACATTGAGGTTCATTGTTAAGGAGGTACATTTTCCTGCTTTATTCTTGTGACGATGCATGCATTTGCTTTTTCTAAGTTATGTGCATGAAACTTTTTTGGAATTTAACTTGGTTAATTTGCTATTTTGATGTATTAAAATGGTTTGAATTGTTTGCTTTCACAGAAAACGAAGTAATTTCATTTAGATAGTTGGTTTAGTTTATTCAAGAGAAAGGAAAATGTTTGTTTGAATATTTTTCTGTTCACAACCACTATATAGCTGGTATAATTTTTTTGACTCTTTTGTATTTGGTGTTTTCTATTAGGTTGATCCAACTACTGGTGAGGCAGAGGAGGATGGCGTTGAAGATGAATACCAACTGGAGGACCTTGAGGTTGTTGCAGCAGATTACATGATGAAGGTCGGAGTCTCCAATTTCAGGAATGCTTGGGAAAGCATGGGAGATGATTTTGAGCATGTGGATGAATATGGCCTTGGCCCAAGGGAGAACTTGGCTGAAGCTGTTATCGCTGTCATCAACCTTCTTGGCATGCAGCCTTGTGAGGTTAGTTTATCATTATGTGATTACACAATGAAGTTAATTACTGAAAATTTGACTATCTATAAAAAAAATAAGAATGGACCAGAACCACTTGATTTCTTAGGTTGAATTAAGAAATCAGGCCATAGCTGGAGAGGTGAAAGTTCCTTTCTATTGGAGTGTGAATGCTGGTGTTCTGATATCGTTCCATAAATTTATCCTATTCTTGAAAATTGCTGATCATCTTTCTGAAGTCAATCACACTGAATGCTGGTATTCTGATATCATTTCATAAATATGCAAGATGAAGACCATGCTGTTATCCCTTGATGATTAGAGTTGCAATATTTGAGCTGCATAGGACCGCATTAACTTCATAATGCCAATGAGACCTTCAATTTGAACTATTTTTATCATTTAGTGGTCCCTTTTGGTTTTTTCAAGTATGATATCATTATTAGATATTTGAAGTCTTGTTGGAAATACGTCCCCTATAATCTCTGTTAGCTGATGTTCTTATATATTTTGTCTTGCCTTCTGTGGTGTTCAGGGAACAGAGGTTGTTGCAACCAATTCAAGGTCACACACGTGTCTACTATCTGGTGTTTTCCTAGGCAACGTGAGGGTGCTTGTGCGGTTGCAGTTTGGAATTCATGGTTCTAGGGATGTTGCAATGAAACTGGCTGTTAGATCTGAGGATGAAGCCGTCAGTGATACCATTCACGAGATTGTATCAAGCGGCTGAGTTGTCAGTCCAGTGGTTGTTCCTCATTCTACTTCGGCCATTTGTTTTTTATCCGTGGATGAGGTTAGGGGCAGATTGCCGTAATCAATTAAAACCTGCTATACAAAGAGTTGCAAGTCATGGAAGGGAAGTTAGGCTTGCAGGGAGACTGTATTTGCATTAATTTCACAAAAGAATTTTAAAAATAGCAATTAAAATAATAAAAATAAAGTTTTAAGAAATAAAATTTGTAGACAACTTTTATTTTTTTGATTGAAAGATGAAATTGATAAAAATATTAATTTTAAAAAATAACCTAGAATAAAAATTTAACAATAAAATAAAATAAAATAAAATTTTAAATAATAAGAAAATAAAAGGATAATTCAAAAGTTTTGATAGCACATCACTATGTCCAATGAGAGAAGAAAAAAAGAAAAGTAATGAAAAAAATTGTCATAAAAGAAAAGTAATGAAAAAAATTGTCATTGATAACACTTCGTCATGATCAACCCTTCTTATGCTATATCTATAGCCATGTTTGGTTACCGGAGGAAGCCACATGAACCGTCAAAGCACTTCAACCTCGCTCCCTCTCTAATATATGAGTTGCGCGTGCCACCTAAAAAAACCAAGTTTGTTAACTATAATCCTTCATATTTGTTTCAACATCATATTTGATTTTTAAAACCCTAATTGTTCTAAATAACCATAATCTAAATAAATTTCAAAAAACCAAGCATAGACATTTTTTCAATACTAAGAGACCCCTATATCTAGGTAACCAAGATAAAAAAATTAAGTCAATTAAAAAAAATACCACCCTAAAATGATCAAATTAAAAAATAAATAACAACTAAAAAAAAATTAAAAATACCTGACTAGGTTATACAACTCTAGCTCTAAAAATATAAAATTAAAGGGGTTCAATATTTGTCAAATTCTTGAATTCTATTCATAAAGTTTTAATTAATTATTATAAACCAATAAAATTAAATTTTGTTTTACAAAACTATGCACTAAATGAGTAACAAAATATTTTCTCAAACTCCCAATTTGTACATGGACAAAACAACTTGCAAAGCTCAAACCCACATGATCACACTGTCAGAGATAAATAAATAAAAAATTGAACGTCCCAAATGTAACACACGGAAGGATCCAAAAGAGGGGCTATAGTAACTTTGAGAGTTATTATTTTTTTTTGTAATCGTAATGTAATTATTCTAAACATTTATTTCAAACATTTTGTTTGGATGGAATGATGTTGGTAAATGATTTAAAAATATGAAATAAAGTGAATTTGCATATCTGTAAATGGAAATGTTAATAAATGAAAAAATAAGTTGTAAAATGTGAGGTGTTGATATAATAATTTTCTCTTAATAACATTTGGATTATTTTGTCCCATTTATATTATCCTGTGTCAAAACATTTTTTTTTTTTTTTCAATTACAAATCTAAAGCGCCAGCCGAAACGAAATGGAATCGACAAAATAGATTTTGATAGGAAAGCAAGCGACGTCGTCTCACCCTCTCACAAGCAAGAGCATTGTGGATGATGGAACGTCAGCCAGGACCCTCGCTGCGTGCGCGAAGTTGTCTTGTCAACCCAGAGAACTGGCAAGTTCAAGGATAAGAGAAACAACACAAGGCAGGAGAGAGTAACAAGACTCATCAGCTGCCAGGTCACAACTGAATCTCAGGTAAAACGGAAGTTGTTATATGTGTGTGTCCACTACGTTGTATCCGTATGGTGCGTATAACACCTTCAACAGGCACAGAGTTAGTTTAAGTGGCAAGCTTTCTGTCCGAGAGTCATCAACTACTTCATTACCTCTGAATAACAAAACCAAACTGCCACTAAAATTAGGCCCTGCTTTTTGTACCAAAATATAGACAAATGACAGAACATCCCCTCCTTTCTAGGAGGTGATTTTGTGTACCACAGTACACCGTTTTTCCCTTCTTCCTTGAAACTGCTAGCCACGCAACCACACCTTCCTGTCTTGAGAGTTCTCCTACCCTTCTTCCGCAGGTATTCTAACCCTCTCCTTTTCCATTTTTGCAAGAGCTAATTAATCAAATGCAAGCAAATCCATTAGGTACATATTGATAGTTTGCGAATAATGATCATCGCAAGTTAATTACCTGCACATTCTTGATCTTTCATGCATTGTTAATCTTGATATACAGGGCATGCTATGTGTATTGGTTACTTTTCTTCTAAGTTTGCAATTGATGTTTCTATCTTTCTAAGTGTTAGATTTTGTTCTTCAGAAAGAATATTCATTTCCTAAATGCATTTTTCAGAGATTACCGGGGCTATATAATCATTTAGAGGAGGGTGGGGTTTGTCCGTGAAGCTTCGACGATACTATCATTTGAAATTGAACTCCAACTATGTCTTCCCCCGCTCCTGAAGAATCTCCGGTTTCTCCACCACCACCATTGGAGTCATCGCCGCCTCCAGCAGCGTCCCAGCCCCCTCCCCCACCCCCAGCAAAGGTCTCTCCACCACCACCACCTTCTAAAGAAATCTCACCCCCACCCCCAGCAGAGGTCTCTCCACCACCAAAAACAACACCGCCACCACCTTCTGATGAAATGTCACCCCCACCGCCACCACCTTCTGATGAAATCTCACCCCCACCGCCACCACCTGAAGACTCAGGTTCTTCACCCCAACCGCCTTCCTCTTCTGATGGAAATAAGTCACTAACCCCCCCTCCCAAAAAAAATGATAATGGTGGTTCTCGGTCGCCTCCACCACCTTCATCATCATCCAAGTTTCACAATTCGCCGCCTCCACCACGACCACTAGGGCCATCAAGTGATTCATCATCAAATAACAGCACTAAATCATCTTCAGGCAATGAAGATGGAACTAACCTTGTACCTATTATAGCAGGAGTCGTAGTTGGAGTAGGGGTTTTATTGCTGCTTGCCCTGCTTGTATTTCTCTGTGCATGCAGAAAGAAAAAGAAGAGACATTATGATTACTACAACGATCACTCTCTAGCACCCAAAGGTACATATCACACTCTCTAACCACCATTTCTGATTTGAGATTTTATTTTTTCTTTTCATTTAGCCCCTCGAGCCTAACTTTTTCCATGCACATCCACATAACAAGTGATCTAATTTCAATTGGATTTAAACTTGGAATTATCCATTAATCAGTAGCGTTACATGAAAATAATCAGTAGGGTTACATGAAAAATTCTTACAGGTATTCATGTGTATGAACTATTAAGTATGCGTGGTACCTATGGACGACTATTCTAAGCATTCATGTTATATTCAATCTCTAAAATAATTTATATAACATTTTGAATTTCTAATAAAGCCAGGTCTAGAATTAATTGAATATGCAAGAAAATTCAAAGCCATACACTCACACACACACACATACCTGTTCAGCATGACACACATTATTGAATACTGACCAGAATGAATTGTGAGTGCTTCTTATTGAATATTAATGTAAATGTGCAGCCACAGGTGGCCCTTATTTCAACGCAGCACCTCCTCAACATCATGCTAGTAATTGGCACAATGAAAGCAAATTCGGAGAGCAAGTTGTAAATCTCCCTCCACCTCCCGGCGGAGGACATGGAACTTGGTCAACACCACCATCTCATGGTGCAATTATGTCTAGTGAAATGAGTTCCAGTTACTCTGGCCCACACGGTCCGGCATTGCCTCCCCCGTACCCATCACCATCATTGGCTCTTGGGTTCACCAAGAGCAGCTTCAGCTATGAAGAATTAGCAGCAGCAACTGAGGGATTTTCTCAAGCTAAACTACTAGGGCAGGGAGGTTTTGGCTATGTCCATAAAGGGGTGTTGCCTAATGGAAAGGAAATCGCAGTTAAGAGTCTCAAAGCTGGTAGTGGACAGGGGGATCGTGAATTTCAGGCTGAGGTTGAAATTATTAGCCGTGTCCATCATCGCCACCTTGTGTCCCTTGTTGGTTATTGCATTGCAGGAGATAAAAAGCTGTTGGTTTACGAGTTCGTCCCCAATTCCACCCTTGAATTTCACCTTCATGGTATGCTCCCAGAATCCAGAATTCTCCATTTTCCTTGATACATTCCCTTCATTCCTGGCATGCTTTAATTAGTCATAATTTGATATCGTTGTCAAATTTGTAGGTAAGGGTCGTCCGACCATGGACTGGCCTACTAGGCTCAAAATTGCCCTGGGATCAGCCAAAGGACTTGCATATTTGCATGAAGACTGTAAGTCAATAACAATTTCTCGATCAGCCTCTCTCTCTACCTTTCTGTCTCTTGGGTTAATCTCTGTTCGATACATGCAGGCCACCCACGAATTATCCACAGAGATATTAAAGCGGCAAATATTCTGCTTGACTACAGTTTCGAAGCTATGGTATTCAGGCAACGTTGCATTTATCTTTTTAGATGTAATTGTTTCAGTTGATGAATTATGCTTAATAACCATTATATATACCAGGTGGCAGATTTTGGATTGGCCAAGTTATCTTCAGACAACTATACTCATGTATCGACTCGTGTCATGGGAACATTTGGGTAAGATATTTGAGCTCCGTTTCAGTGGTATATGATCTGCCGTAGCACCAAATTAGAATAAAGTTTGACAGGCACAAGTTGATCTGTGATTACCATTGATGCATACATGTAGGTACTTGGCTCCAGAATATGCTTCCAGCGGCAAGCTTACCGAGAAATCTGATGTATTCTCCTTCGGTGTCATGCTATTGGAACTAATAACTGGACGTCTCCCTGTGGATATCTCTGGGGACATGGATGACAGCTTGGTAGAATGGGTGCGGATCCTCAATTTTGCACCCTCTTAACCTCCTTTAACCGAACTTCTGCAACACAAGTAAATGCTTATATTGAGATTTTGGTTCATGCAATTACCAGGCTACACCTTTATGTGCAAAAGCGCTAGAAGACGGAAACTACAATGAGCTGATTGATCCAGCTTTGGAGGGCAATTACAATCCCCATGAGGTGGCTTGCATGATAGCATGTGCTGGTGCATCAGTTAGTTATTCAGCAAAGAGGCGGCCGAAAATGAGCCAGGTATGATACTTCAATTATCATGGTGATCTATATTTTTGCGTGAGAAAAAATTCGAAGCTTTGATTAAGCAACCGCTGGCAAGTTTCAAGAAATTTTAGTCCAAAATCTTGTCATTGATGTAATTTCTTCAAAGAAACAGAAATTGCACGGTTTGTTTAGCCAACCTTTCCTGCAATCCACTCAAGACCACCTTAAGCAATTTTACTAACGACAGTTTTCCTCGTGGATCTCCAGACCTTCTAACAAACAGCAAGGAACAAGGAGATAAAAAAAAAAAAAAGAGATCTAACATCGTGAATAAACTAATCACATATCATACACCATCACTTTACTTAAATGGGAATTGTAAAATATCTTAGGAGATGCTTTAACAAGTATCAATGAAACAGATTGTACGAGCACTTGAAGGTGAAGTCTCCTTGGACGAAGGGATAAAACCTGGCCGAGGTTTTATCTTCAGCTCCGCTTCCAGTTCTGATTTTGAACAAAGCTCATATAGTACAGATATACGGAAGTTTAGGAGGACGGCATTAGACGGCATCGATTATGCAAGCAGTGAATTTGATCACACGAGTGAATATGGGCTGAATCCTTCCTCTTCGAGCAGTGATGAAATGACGAAGAGTCAGAGACGCGGTCCTTGAGCATTTTCAAACTTTCAAGACCATCGGAACTAATTTCTATTTGAGTTTATACGTTATGAAGAGCAGGATTATCTAGAACAGTCTATAACATGTTTCAAGCCATTTTTAGGGTGAGACATTTATCCAGGTGTGACTGACTTTTTACCATGAATAACTGCAATTGTTTAGGTGTGGCCGGCGCCAACAGTGTATTAATATCTTAAAAAAAAGATGATGATGGCGGCACAATTTGAACCATTACATTTTTGCTTGTATTTTCCATCATAGAACTTTATTCGAAAAAATACTAGTTACGAAGCAACATCAACCAGCCCCATATAGGAAACTTCCTTGGCAAAAATTCTTCGAAATTCATACTCCAGAGGCTAGCACTGACAATCCAGGCATGCAGGAATGGTCCTTGGCACTCAGGCATCGAGATTATGTAGGCAAATTAACACTAGCAAGGGACATAAGATCTTGAAAAAGATTCCATGGATTAAACTAGGCAAAAAATAAACAGTATGCAACCACATCCTCGAGTTATCTAGCAAGGAAATGGTAGATGTCCGGCATTAGTTTTGAGGTATGATATAGGAATCTAGGGTGGGGGGGATGCTTGAAGAAAACAAAGATTTTTCATTAAATAAAGGTACAGGATACAACAACTGGTAAGCACAAATTAAATAGGTAACTTTGATACCGTTGCCAGATATAACATGAACCGCCACTTTTACCATTAAGATCAAACCTCATGCAATTTTTCCATTTCCTCATCAATTTTCACATGAGAATTACAAGGGACAGCACTGGGAAATGGTTTTCAAACCACATTAATTTGACGAGAATGCAGAGGGATCTACCAACAATGCGGTGCATCTGAAAAAGCAATGAGAACCATGATCCTGGGAGGAAACGAGACAGCTGATTAAAGCCTTTTGCTCGAATCAGATTACCTTCCTATGCCCTCCAAAAGCCCAAATCTGGAGAGGGGGAGAGGGGTGGAGATTTCATCAACTTGACAGTTTTGTAATTAATTCTATGTAACAGAAGATCAAAGTGAAACTGGATAAAATTATGTCTAATAGATGTTGCTGAGCACAACACCTCCAACATGCAAAATGCCAGATAAGCGGTAGCATTCTACATAAAGAAGCATCAATAAAGGCTGAATGGGATCCTATATATAAGTCGATCAATAATTGAATAAAAGGAGCTTTCTTTGTAGCTTAGTTTAGGCAGGACTTCTTGACCCAAGAACTAAGAATAAAAAGTGTTTCATTACCTAGAATAGAACCACTTGGAACAACAAAGCAGACTACAGGAGTTGAGAAGGACAAAACTGGATGGCTAAGATTTTCAATGTCGTGATCAAATGGATCTGTTCTTTGTGGATCCGATATGGAGCTTTTTCCTAGATGTGTCTCCAGCAAATGAGACTGTATCAAAAGAAATTTACAAAGCCATGCTTATATGGAGACTAACCTTTAGGTTTGTATCCCAACTTCCTGTACACAAGGCACTTCCATCAGCTGACAAACCCAAACAGCTGATCCGGCCCTCATGGGAGTTCTGCAAAGATCCCAAGTTCAAAACAACCTGCCATGAAACACAAAAGTAATTGGGGTCAATGGGTGCGATAACATGGCCCACCTCAAAGCTCCCACAACTTATAAACCTTCAAACAACAGCTCAGCAAAAAAGGATGCTTGCAACAAGAGCATAATGCTCAAGCTTTTCTTTCTTAAAGGTTAAAATGATGGGAGTTCTGATACTTAATTTCACACAACTGGGAAAATACAATAGTCACCAACAAAGTGGGGAACACCAGTGCCACTCTTCATATAAGTTTGTTTTCACGTGTCTTGTCTATCATAACTTATAAGCATCGCAAGGCTTCAGACCTATGCCCGAGTTAAGACACGTGCAAATAGGTATCTAAAGCAAAATCCATGAAACCTCAGAACTCAGCGGTAATAATACACAACCAGGTAACATTAGCAGTTCAACATTAAACTTAAGAAACAAAGGCCAAAGTTAGGGTTGAAAATGCCCCCCAGAGTTCAAATTCCAGTAAATAATATCAATTAACTTGAGCAATGCATGCAAATCTAATTCCTCCAAAGATGTTTTGATGGTAGCATAATAAACTTAATACAAAGTGCAAAAGGGTACCTCAGCCAATAAAGTGTCCCACACATAACAATCACCATTTGAGTATCCCGCAAAGAGAAGTCTTCCTGATATTGAAAATGCAATTGAGGTTACATGTGGGATCTCACTATCACCATGCTGTTGATAGTAAACTTGGAGTTGATGCCCAGTCCTGACATCAAATAACCTGCAAGTTCCATCATCCGAACCAGTTCCAAATCTATTACCATCTGGAAAGAACTTCACAGCATTAACATCTCCTTCATGCCCATGAAATGTGCGCACTGCTCGACTTGCAACACGGGTGTCCCACAACCGGGCAGTTGAATCGCAGGAACCAGACACAAACATTCTTGAGTTTGATCCACTAATTGAGACACTGCAGGATACAAAATCACAAAGGTCAAACTTCGAAAGTGCTAATTGCTCCCTGACAAAGGAGAAAATCATAAAAATTGAACATAATAATGTAATGCTATAGTAATTTAAATAGGGAAAAAGAAGCATCGGACATATAAGGTTTGATTGTCACAGGATGCACCATATATAACTGCCAACATAGAGTAAATGTAGGGTTGCAAAAGAAGACACTTCAACAAGAGCAGCTGAAGGTTAACTAGGTAGATAGTCCATTGAGTTTGAAGTCAAAAGATAGGCAGATAACAAGGTTAGCTTGATGGAAAATTGGAGAATGCCTTACCTTAGCACATCAGCAGTATGTCCGGACTGAAATTCTCCTCCAAACACAGAAGTTCTCAGGCCTGTTGTAATATCCCACAGAACACATGTCTGGTCACCAGAACTTGTTATCAGATGAGTATCCTCATCTGGAACATACTGACAAGACGAAACATAACCCTTATGCCCACTAAGCATTCTCGAGACAGTTAGATTCCCATCCTTATCGGTTGGTGAATTCAGGTTAAAAATTGAGCAAACACTATCAAGACCGCCACAAGCAACAGATTGTCCAGCAGGAGAGAAAGCACATGTCATCACCCATGCACAGGGTAGCTTTATGGCGTGGGTTTTCTGACTTGTTAGAGCATTCCATACTATTAATCGCCCATCTTGAGATGCACTTACTATTCTATTCTTTTCAGGGGTCCAATCCAATGAATACACCTGCAAACGTGATAGGCATTAAATCTCTATTTATGACATAATTACCCTGCAGATCTTACGCATGATCTTTGCATTTCACGGCTTCAAAATACCTATGGTAAGAGCCTTCATAATTTCACTCACACCCTGTTCGTTAATAAGGACGAAACATGTAAAAGGGATGAATTGAGAGTAGAAAGGATGGACAACAACCTATCTATCTAGTTGTTGGATAACAAGTGAGGGAGGGACAGAAATCAATCTATACAAATTGGACAGATTGCAAATTACATGTCAGGAAGGACACACAGGATCCTTCCTTGGGTCTCCATCCACCCAACTAAACGTAGAAATCATCCAATCCCTCCTCAATCCATCCCTTCTATTTTCCTTCCTAACAAACAGAGTATGAAAAACAATGTTGATGTTCTAATTCTCAACAGTTTCATTAAAGCAATGAATGGCAATTAACGTTTTTGCTGATGTTCTAATTTCCTTCTATTCAGAGAACCTCTCTAGCAAACCAAACTATTTGTTTCTTAAGTACTCCATCCATAATAAACATAACCTTTTCTCATTGAACAATAATTCATCCAGGAGCATTCATCTATCTTTCAGAAGCATACCACAGAAAATAAAGAGCCAAAGAGTTAAGAGTAGTAAGAAGTAAGCCAATCTTCACTTGACGTCGTTTTTGGAAGCCAAGCTAAGAATGGTGACCCTTTACTTTCCATGACATTCATACACCTAATTTAGTGGCGGATAACAAATTCTATATAAACCACATCCCATTTGCCCCCAAGAAAACGAAAAAGAAAAAAACAAGTGCCGCAGCTTGGTAAATCAGAAAAAAAACAAGTAACACAGCAAAAAAATTCCACTGGTAGTTACAGCTACCAAGGACAACATGACTTCATTTGCCGATTGAATCAAAACCCACAACCCGATTTATTCTTTGTAACTTAAATTTACAGTCGTTAAGAAGCGGGAAAAAAATTAACAATAGAAACAAATTATAAAAAAAAATGGTTATTACCTTGCCAGTGTGTCCTTGAAGAATCCTGCAGCAAACCAGATCGGTGGGCCCAAAACTCACCGGATTCCTCCCTTGCGCCCTCGCGTGTCCCGCAACTGCAGCAGACCATAACAACTCCAATCAGATCCATTTCCAAAGCTACACTTTTTTTTATATCTTTCTTACGAAGAGAGAAGAAAAGAAAGAAAATTGAAATAATAATTACTATCTGTATCAAGTAAAAGAAGGCGTTTCTGCTTCAATCGTTCTCTCAAAGAATTCACAGTCTCGGTCGCCGCCACGTGGCGTTCCTTTAGCTCCGAAACAGACATTGCTGTCTTCAATTTCACAAATAAAAAGGAAAAAGAAAAAATGAACTAAAAAGCACTGTCCATCAAATTATATTATTTTTCTTTTTCTAAGCCCTCGTCGTAATAGTGATCATGAATCATGATTCGAGAAAGAGATATTTTAAAGATTCAATGATTTAAGAGAGAGGTAGAATTGAAAAGGTGGGATATTTTGTTTAGCTTAAGAGGAAGTGGAGGTGGTAATGGACTGAGACTGCAATCCATGGTTTTTTGCTGCAGAGGTCTGCAGAGCAGAGACAAAGGAACAGGGGGAGAGGGAGGGAGGTAGAGTTAAGGTAAAGGCTGGTATTTTGACTGAAGCCGCCGGGCTCCACTTTTCCTCTTATCTTACGTGTCGTGCTATTTTATTTTTTTGGGAAACTTCAATTTAGCTTCTTATTTCTATTACCAGTTAAGTCTCAGATCTTTTGATTTTATCATTTTTACTTCGATTGTAATAGATTTTAGAAAATAGCATCCCTCCACTTCTCTAGTAATTATTATGTATTGGATAGAGATACTCAAAAAAATATATAAAAAATATATATGAATTACATGTAAATTTTATTGAAATTTTATAATTACAGGATTATTCTAGATTAAAAATAATGATGGTCTATTATATTTTTTATACTTATTCCTTAAACTTAAATAATTATTAATTTTAAATTATTTAAATTTAGTACGTTGGTCACGCTACTTTAAGCTTCACTGATAAATAAACTTATTTTATTTAAAAAACTATAAATAAAAATCTTGATCAAAAATCAACTCATCAAGTACAAATCAAACGTGGATTGTATTGAGATTTTATAATTACCAATTATGGATGGGTACGAAGGTGACATTAGTCTGGTATCAATTACATTTGGAAAAAAAATGGTAAAATGAATAGCCTGGGGACCGCTAATAATGAGTTGATATAACAAGGACTGAGCTGATGTGTCTCCACTGTTTTTCTATTTCGAAGAGGCTTTTTTATTTTTTAAAAAAAAAAGACATCAAGCGTATGATTTGGTCCCACAGAGAAAAAGACTTCGCTTATGTTTGATATTCATTGTTCCCATCCTTGCTGTCCTCTTTTCACAGTTGTCAATGCATGGGAGTAAAAATGAAAGGTATACGTCACAGGTAGGGAATGTATCAGCTATGTGTTTGATATTTTTTTAATTATATATTTTAATATTTTTAAGTAGCACTCTCAATTTGACAAACTCTTTTTTTTTTCATGGTTTCTTAAAGACTTGAAAAATTAAACTGGCTAGGGGCCTGGGCTACCTTGTATGCCGTACCGAATTTCTTCTCATGTAAAAAAATTGCCTGAATGATGATAGAATTTTTAAAGAGGCTGGAGAGAGAGAGAGAGAGAGAGAGAGTGTTTGGCCATTAACATGATTTTATCTAATAACTTTGATTGATTTAATATAAAAAAAGATAATAATATTAGATAAATTAAAAAAATTGACGTGAAATACATAAGTTAACTTGCTATACACGGCTCAATAACACATGAGATTAAGATAGTATTATAAAAATTAAAAATTAAAAATTAAAAATTTTAATCTATAATAAATTTAATATTAAATAATAAAATTTAAAAAAAATAACTAATAAAAAATTCAAGTCAATCGAAAACAACTTTTTAAATTCATGAACCGGATTTTAATATTGAAATTTTCTATAAAAAACAAACTTGAAAAAACTATGAAGTTAATATCTCAATTAACAAAATGTTAAAAAGTGAAATTGAAAAACATAGTTAGAGTAAAAAAATAATAAATAATAATCAAGATAATAAAAAACTTAAAAAAATAATTTGAAATCAAAAGTTAAATAATAAAAATAAAAAATAAATTCAATTAATAAAATGATCCAAAATAAAATAAATAGTGATTAAAAGAATAATAATAATAAATAAATAAAATTAAAAAATAATTTTAATTTTATAAATTATTTAAAATAAAATAAATAATAGTACAAGAAACATGTAATAAATCCAAAACAAGAACAAATTGAAAAGATGCTATTAAAAAATTAGAGGGTTATCCGTTAAAATTGAGGCCAAATTGAATGTGATTTAGCCATGCACACCACGCGAGAATAAAAAGGCTGCCGAGACAATTTAAATGCCGCCATGAAAGCCATTGTCTAGTTGCTGAGTGTGTTTTCACATGCTTGCTCAGACAGCACAAAGGCATCCTATAGATTCATGCGTGCAATATACATGTCAGTAACTTTTTACTTCATTTTATTATTGAGATGTTTTTTTAATCAACTTGATTATATATATAAAAAAACCTTTAAGTGCGAGTTAAAGGATTTTTGCTTCTAGAGATAATTTAGTGATTGCTACGAGTATGAAAAAAAAAATAAAAAAAAAGGAATTAATTCTTACCAAGGTCTTTGAAATTATTTAAAAAATTACAATAGAGGATGGGTTGAGTTATTTGTCATCCATGTCCTTAATCGTTTTTCGACCAGGCCATCCCTCTATAAAATTATTAAACCATGTTATATAATGTGTAGTATCTCTCTTGAATTTTTCTGTACTGATCAAACATTTAGATTGAATATGTAGAATAAATTACATGTATGCATATTACTAGGTTTTTCTCACTGTTTCCTTGTTTTTAACTGTGAGAATTTTTAAAGATTCACTTCAATTGACTTACAGCATCAAAGATTTATTTTGATTGCGAGGCTTGTTTATTTATTGGATTGTTTATTTATTGGACAGACTTACAGCATCAAAGATTTATTTTGATTGTGAGGCTTGTTTATTTATTGGACAATATTCTTAAAAAAATTATTTTTTAAATTTTTTTATATTTAATTATCATTAGAAAAATTGGTCAACAGAAAATAATTTTTAGTCAAGGAAAAATTCGCTTATTTTGATTGTGAGGCTTGTTTATTTATTGGACAATATTCTTAAAAAAATTATTTTTTAAATTTTTTTATATTTAATTATCATTAGAAAAATTGATCAACAGAAAATAATTTTTAGTCAAGGGAAAAATTCGCTTGAAACGCTTGGTTTTCAAAAAAATATTTTTATGAAAAATTTAGGTAAAAAATATTTTATAGAAGTTATGAAAAATTTAGAAATATCATATTATTTACTAATTATATCAAATTTAGTCCTTAAATCTTTATATATATATATATATATTATGTTTTGAATATTTATTTTTCAATTTCATCTCTTACATTTTAATTTTTATATTAACCCTAGTTTTTATTTTTATATTTATTTTTTATTTTTTTCTTATTATTTTTTTATTGAAATTTTTATTTATCAAATTTGATTCTCATTCTTTCGATTATTACTTATTTTATTTGAAATAATTTATGAAATGTTAATTATTATTATTTTAATTTCTTCATCTTTTATTTTTTTAGATTTGATCTATATTATTCTGATTGTGATTTATTTTATTTGATATAATTTATAAAATTATATTTTTATTTAAGTTTTCAATTTATAAGATTTATTCCTTGTTATTTTAATAAATTTAAAAATAATAAAACATTAATAAGTTATTTTCAGCTATTTTTTATGATATAATCAAATATTAAAAAAATATTTTTAATTTATTTTATATTACACTACTAAATATTAAAATATAATTTATTTTCTTAAAATTTACTTAAAATAAAAAACTTCTTTACAATAAACAAACATTACCTAATAAAAGAATCTAAAATCATGAAAGAAAACAACCCTGTTCATGTCTTATTCTATGTTTCTGGTCATGTGTGCGTCCATGCCATGAAGGCAACAGCTGGCACGCAAAAACATCAGATAAATGACTGGATCAAGTTAATTTAATCATCAAAATATTTATTTCATCAGTAAAGTGTTCGATTATGGAAACCAGCAGAACGACAAATACAAGTGATGACACAACAACTCACGCGTGTGACGACGCAAAAAGAAAAGAAAAAAAGAAAAAGAAAAGAGAGGAGGAGATAATCTCTCGATCGATGCCCGGGATAGAAACCACCGTGGGCACAAAAATGGTTGAGCCCAGAAGTCAAAATATGTAAACAAATCTCCTCCCTGTGAAGATCCAATCCAATCACAAAAGAACAGGTGGCAGCCACTTATTTTCAAATGATGGACTGTGGGAAGGGCTGCCGCCATTTTTTGTATAGATAAGTCCTACAGGGGGTTGACGTGGTCATACCGTCATAGAGGAGAACGGAGAATGGGTCAGATATGGACGGACCGTTGAGAGTTTTTTCTACCTTTGATTTTAACATAAAAAAAAGTTTAAAATAAAAAAATAAAAAAATAAAAAATACTTATTGAATAAAAAATACAAACATTGCATTTCAGGAGAACCAGTCTTCGGAACACCAGTTGAATAATGCCAGAAAAAAAAATTATGGATATCAAATGAAGAACAGTAGACGAGTCATTGCTGAAGGAAATAACGATAATAACCTCCTTTTCTTTTTATTCATATCTATATATATATAAAAACCTCATCATTTTCACAGCTAAATCGTTAGTGTTCGCAAGGAAATAATAAGGAAAATAGATAGAGATAGCCAATTTATTCTATTCTAAAAGTAAAAATTCCGTTGCCGGGAATCGAGCCCGGGTCTCCGGGGTGAAAGCCAGATATCCTAACCGCTGGACGACAACGGATGTTTTATCTTTTAGTCCTATTAATAATTTTATTAATAAAAAAAGTAACTTGAACTCAGATTTAAGGCCCACCCAGAGTCAAAATTGGATTCGTTTTCACACGCCCATTTGATTCGAAATTTCACATGTAAAAGTGGTCGTCTTTTTGGTTTTTTTTTTTTTTGGAAATCCATGTGGTATCTCAAAGCAGCTTGTAATTGTGCATCAGAAATTACGTTTTCATGGTCTAGTGGCATGGCAGGTAGAGGTTAACTCGAGAGATGTTGATGTTCACTATAGTATAGAAGACAAATAATTTGGAATTACCAGTCTGGGCCCCAGCCGGATTACTAACACACCATTTACCTAGCATATATAATTGGAGGATACCGACATTCACAGTCTACTGCAAAATTTAGCTTGGATTTCCTCCTGATAGGCTCTGTTAATGCCATCCCGGCACAAACCAAGATGATAAAGAGAGGACATGGTTTTGAATACAATATAGAAATCCAAGAGTCGACTGTTCATTGATTTCCATGCATGTGTACTCAAACCAAGAATGAAAAATATAAAACTGAAGGGCTCTGTTCTGTTTCAAAAAATATGGGACTTGGTCCACAAATTTGGTGAAAAATGTAGACTGATACATATAATCCAATTATCCAAAGCTGCCTTGACAAAACCATGTGGAAAACGAAACCCAGATCCTCTTACGGAATATCAAGGAAATCATGTAATTATATTCAAGTTTGCGTTGATCATTGAGATAAAAAGAGGACTAAGCAGAGACATTTTCTTCACAAAAACTTGTTGGCTCATAATTATGTCTGATAAATAACGACAGGGAGAGAGGGAAAAGGGCAACTTGCAATAGATTTGAAGTTTGAGCCTTGTAAATTAGAAAACGGCATGATTGCCACTTCAAGCCTTGTCTATAACAGATGTACATGATTGGATATTTGAAAAATGGTACCAGAAACCACGTGACAAAGTTTATAAAGTTCGTCTAAACATAATTGCACTTCATGGCGTACTTCCTACTACCTTAACAGCATCAGACCATTGAAAATGGACAGCGAGAAAGAGAGATCTAAATCAATGCTTCCAAATTGAAGGAGGAAGCCTTTACAATCGCAGATTCAAATCAAAACCATCAAGGTACAGTACCAAAATGAAACCTGCTCTTGATTTTTCAAGTGCTCCCACCAGGGTAGGTGCAGCCATTGTAACCTACAATTAGAGAGAGAAACACATTCATAAGCATGGCAATGATTCCAAGACAGAGACTAATAAACCACAAAAGATTAAAACTTTGGGTTATGTGGGGACCAAAAGCCATAAAGCAGGCAAAAAATTCAAAAGTTAATATTGTTTTATATTCTTAATTCATCAGCTGCCATAAAAACCCAAAGCTATTGTTCTTTTTACATTTCTAATCACATATTAATATGGAGCTAATTCAACGAGGAGAATATCACCTTTTTTTTTTTGTTAAAGTATAACTCATGATAACAAGAGCTGGCACCTAATGGTTCCTAGAGTAGTTATTCATTTATGTGCTGTAGAAAGAATTGCTTTATGACACAAAGCAACTTTTAAGTAAAAAGATGCTCAAATAGGAACCGTGATGTGGTCATTTCTAATGCCAACGATTGCATAAATTTTGTATGCATGAAAGGAAATAGAGTTGAAGTTAAAATGGAAATTTTACTGGGATTTTTGGATGTGAGGGTAGCCGTTTCTGAGAAATCACAGTTCCATGGATTCTTTGCAGAAGCCTGGTAGTAGAGATTAATGGCATAAGCAGCATGTGATGCCAGAGTATCTGGTTGGAAACAGGCACCTCCTGGTTGAATGGGGCCGCAATCTATGCCTTGGCCACAGGCATAGTCGAGACTTGCCTGCAATTGAGCGCCAGAAGCACCAGTTTTTGGCACACACCAGCCTACTGCTGCTGGCTTTGGTGATGATGTTACTGGAGTTTTTGGAGTCGATGGAGTCTGAGGAAAGACCAAATGGTGGATTTTACAAATCGCAAATCAATAATATCAAACTAGCTGCATTTAAGCAATGCGTTCCCTACAACTATCTTTCACAATGCAAATGCAAAAATGAGCTCAATGCCTGATGCATACAACTTCCTGCAATAAATTGTGAAAATCTGATAATAAATCTTCAAAACACCCTGATACCAAATTTTCAATTAAGAACAAATAGAATGGAACATCACAGCCAATAAATTTCAACTCCCCTTCAACATTTCTACCAATCCTCGTCACTTCTAGCGACAGTCAATTTTAAATGCTTTCTTCTCCCTTCTTATAATCATGTTAACTGGAAATTACCAACACATGTCATGCTTTAGGCCTAAGCCTGATTAGATCTTGAGCATCCTAGTATACATGTAAACTCCTCTATTGAGTGATAATTGCAGCTTACCTTGTGTCACCATGACCACAGCCTACAAAGTAGATTGCCAAGAAGAAACATTCTTAAAGCGTTGAAGGAAAAGAAGGTATGGTCCTTACCAAGCTACTCTTTGAAAGACCAATATCATACGTCATTGAAAGGTCGGGCTTGAAAAGCCCAAACGATCGTTCCGAAGCAGGACCAGGTTTCAAGTCCTCATCATAAAGGGCGAAGATATATGTATCTACAGATTTTCCAGGCATTAGTGGGGTTCCAACCATTGATCTAAGGTGAGAAATCAAATTGCCATTATAAGCCCTTGCATTCTCAACGCTTGGGCCAACCTCACTGCTGTCACCGTTGTAAGGCCACCCTGTCTCAGCAACCAAAATCTCAATGTCATTGAATCCCATAGCATTTAAGGCCGACCGTACAGCATCAACCTGCAATTCATTTTCCAGGCCATTAATTAAATAGCATCAATCTAATGAACCAAAGACTTGATCATTAGAGGCTTAAGCTTCCTCTTCATGAATTATAAAAAGTATGAACCTCTGTATCGGTATAGGAAGTGTACTGCTACATAAGTCCTATGTAGTCATAATTCAAACACTTGCAAACCCCATGCCTGGCCCTTAGTAAATGCAAAAACTACGATGGCTGATTATGATTATGATGTTCACACACGGTGGTCCCCAACCAATCAAAGTAACCAACATTTCTATGGTCCAATTTCTACATCAACAATAATTCAAGTCTCGGAAGGATTTGAGCATAAATTATAGCAATGGCCAGCCTGTCATGAGGCACAATAAGTCACATCCCAGCACCCTCTACCCTTTTAGGGGAAAAAGGATGGGCATATAATAGAGGAGAGAATTATTTGCAAATGCTTTTCCATGAAGTCCTTGAACAAATGCACTTGCTTTCTAAGTCTCTTTAACCAAATATTATTAATTTGACTTCTAAACGCCAACACTACACTACCATTTAAACAGGAATTCAACAGCAATGGTTCATCGAAGTCCAAAACACACCCACAATCGTATGATGCAACACTCTGGCAAATATCAACAAAACGACGTGTACAAGTAAATAATCACACCATGCAGCTTGCGGCTAATCCATGGAAAATGAACTCTATCCTTGATCATCTCAAGCAAATTCTTGTTATATTGATGGAGCTTTCACCCCTCCATTTTGTGCAACCCACGTGGCAAGCTTTCAATAATTTGGCACTTAAAGTAACTGCACTCGAAAAAAACACAACCTTAACTGATCCCAAGTGATCGAAATTGCTGGAGACCTTTTGTAAAGGCTGAAGGCATAAAGTTGACATAGGTACAGAGAACCTAATTCCCCATGTCAATGTCGTGCCTTCGTGATCAGAGAAGACAAAACATCTACGCTACGCTATATCGCTAAAGTATGCCACAAGCTTGCCCCGCACTCCTTTGTTTATTGACCTCACAATCTCACATGTTGATGTGCCTTTTACTCCCTGGGCCTCTACAACGCCCAACGATTACGAATTAATCATCGAGGTCTGTTGATCACTATACTATGGCGACAGCCTCGTCTGGACCAACCATCCATTGATCCGTTACAAGCCTCCGTTTTGATATTGTGTTTCAAAAACAGTGCAGACAAAATTTGAATTTTTAATTAAAATTAAAATTATTTATTTTAAAATTGTTTGATAAATTAATATCAAAGATAATTTTTAAAAATAAAAAAATAATATCTAAAAATAAAACATATTTTTAAAAAACAACTATTATTTCATATCTTCTAGGCTAGTTTGGAAACATGTTCGCAACGTGTTTTTCATAAAGTTGTTTTTCTTTTCTTGAAGTTATTATTATTATACTTTAAAAAATCAACACAATATTAACTACATTGCTTAACTTTAGCCACTACGTGTAAGCCACGCACGGCCAAGATTGAATCACACCAGCATGTCAGCAACTGTTCAAAGTAATCAGTAAAAACTTGAATGTGCTTACCTGAGCATCAAACATGTTCATGTACTTGATCCCATTACCCGAGTCAACTCGTCCCGAGTTGGGTTGAAACAAGCAAAAAGCCAGAGTCTCCGGTCTTGGGTCGCTCTGGTACGCAAAAAAGGGGTACGGATTAACGGCAATGGGTGAGCCATTGTCCTTTTGAAACTGCAATAACCCTTTCATAGTGTCTTGATAAGCCGGGCTAAACAAACCCGAAGAAGGCGGGTCGGACTGAGACAGTATGGCCATGGAATGCACAGTGGAGACCTTGACCTTGCCGCCGAGGGAGGCAGAGCTAAGTGCTTTTTCCATATTTTGCATCGCTGGTAAAAGCTGAGAGATCAGGTTTTGATCGTTCGACAACAATACCTGTCAAAATCAACACGCTCCATAACTTAGCCCACTTGAAATATAATGTCACGACTATACAATTCTAATAATTACATTCACAGACTGTAAGAAAATCAGCAATTTAAAATCGTAGAAGTGTTCATATCGCATTACCTCGTTACCAACTGTGATGAGAATGATCTTGCTAGAAGGATAGTACGCTAAAACATTCGAGTTAACCCACTGAGTCGCAAAATTGGGATCTGAAGCTAAAGCAGGGATGTCTCCATTAGCAGCACCAATAACTATCCCAATTCCAGTATCTGCCAGTGCTTTAATGATTGCTGGATCAGCACCATAGAGCCTAACTTTCTGTACAGCCGTAGATTGTAGGAGCTTCGCTGTGGCTGATGGTGGGGGTAAGTTATCAGCCACTTGACCATAATTGACCCCAATAAAAGACTGTGAACCTGTAACAAAAACCAAAATCAAGTTGTGAACCTCTTAATTTTATGTCTTTTTAGGCCAAAACAATCAAAATTTGAACTTACTAGCGAAGTTGAAAGATTGAAGGAGATAGAGAAGGATGACGATTGAAAACGCCATTTTTGGTATTGTATTTGTGGTCGTGGCCTCGTGGGGAAGGAAGGGATGGGAAAGGAAGGGACATAGAAATGGAGGGGAAGGCGAGTGAAGTGGAGAAGAATGGTGTTTGACGGTTAAAAAAGTTGGGAACTTTTTTTTTAATATATATGCAAGTGTAGCAGTTTCGATTCTACCGTGGGTGTGAAATTCAACTAAAGGTAGCTGGATGACCTCGTGGAATGGGACCCTGTCTTTTTGTTTTTTAATTACCTCGTAGCTTGTAATGGTGACTCAGTTTGAAGAGGCAACATGGGATCTGAAAAACGGGTTGGCTCAAAGAGTGAAAATCCAAGTTCCCGTCGGCAAAAAATGAGTGGAACATAGATAGAGTTTGTTTTTTTAAAGAAAAAATAGTAACGTGGACAGCTTCTCTTTTACAAAATATGAGTTTAAAAATTATTTTGAAAAATAACAAAGTTTATTAAAAATAATAAATATAACAATTGCAACTTTTAAATTTATAAAAATAACATTGTCATTTCAATCTAAATATTACCGGTGATACACACGTAATTTTTAAATCTATAAAAATTGATTTAAAAGTTATGTATGTATCAAGTGTGCGACTTTTAAATTGAAATGAAGAGTTAATTTTCAAATTTTTATCTATTTATTTTTTACATTTTAAAAATATTTTTAATATTTTAATTTTTTAATTTTTTATTTACTTTAAATTAATGTATTTTTAATATTTTTAAATTATTTTGAGGTGCCGATATTAAAAATAATTTTTTAAAATAAAAAAATTATTAACATAAATTTTCTTATAAAAATTATTTAAAAAATAACTATAATTATATTGCTAAACCAACAAAGCTCCACATGTCTCGTGTATATAAATTACAATAAATTTTATTATTTTTACAAAAAAAAAAATTATTTCAATAAATTTTATTATTTTTACAAAAAAAATTTATTCATAATATTTTAAAAAATAATTACTGCCCTGCTAATTTAAAAAAAAGCTCAGGATATCAATATGTGAATTTGAAATTTCTTAAAATTAAAATATTGTGTGTGTTTGATAGTTTTGTAGAATAATTCACATGACATCAAGTACTAAAATTGTATTTTGAGGGGTTTGTAAGAAAAGTTTGTACCAGCCACCCATTGTTAGCGCCGCAGCAAATTCTACTTTAAAATTTCGGATGCTAATTGGCAATTTCATCAGAACGTCTTTTCATCATTCCATTATTTCGATGTTTCTTCGTTCATACGTTAATCTGTGGTTAAAAATACAAGATTCTGCGTCAAGACGATGATAGGCCCAAGTCTAGTCTTGTACCGAGCTGAAAACAACGGTCTAGATTTACAAGTGTTCACAGATTGGATATTTAGATAATATTTAATATTGTGTTATCAGTATTTTTTATTTAAAAATATATTAAATTAATATATTTTTTATTTTCAATACCAGAAAAAATACTAAAAAAATAATAATAAAATTCAAATTTTACGAAAAGTATGTTCAATAGTAAAAACAAACTTCTTAATATATTTGAAAATATAACCGTTTGAAAATATAATATGGTTAAATGTTGTATCATTCTATACACAAAAGCCCACCATTAAAAGCAAATTTTACATATTTTTCATTTTTTTTTTTTACATATAAATCCCACGTAAAAAAGCTACAGCCCATTTAGATTGAGTTTTTCCACAAGAAGAAAACAAAGTTATTGTCAACGAAGATATAATCAAGATGGATATATTCTTAATTTTTAAAATATTTAAACAATCCTACTATCCTACGTGACTAAACAACGGTTCTGGTTGGGCCAGAACTTACATGGAAAGAGGTAGCCAACTTCGGCCGACCTAAGCCACCACAACCTTCCCAGTGTAGAAAGTTGATTTTTACGTCACCCAGTCTTTCAAAAAGTAACGTTCAAAAGGGTCTCTCATCAAAATAATTGGATTTGCAACCCCAGCTGGTGCGAAGGCATCACTAATTGACCCTCCCGAGTCAAATTTACTAGAGACCATTAGGATGGGGTTGAAGCTGAATTTGCATCTCGTGTCCATCACCCACCTGATCAAAATAATTGGATTTGCAACCCCAGCTAGTGCAGCAAAGGCATCACTAATTGGCCCCCGAGTCAAATTTACTAGAGACCATTGGGATGGGGTTGAAGCTGAATTTGCATCTCCTGTGTCCATCACCCACCTCCGATCTGGTTGGATATGATCAGATGAAAGACTCTCTCTGCTAGGCGAATGATCCACTGGATTTATTTATTTTTAATAAATTTTACAAAAATAAAATATAAGCACCCTCATACATTAATCATAAAATAAAATAGTCTAAATTTCAAATATATACTTAAAATCATATCATACAATAAGAATAAAATTTATACATTAACTTGAATAAAAAAATCACACCCTTCCGTATCCGACTCTGATCAAACCATAAGGATTATTTTACCTGGTTGATTGACAAACCACATAAAATCAAGCAATGGATTGAGTAAAACTGCCATCACTATTTCTAACTTACAATGAATTAATAACTCCTTTGGAAATACAGACCGGCCTTTTAAAAAAAATTATTTTTTTTTTTTGTATATTTTGAAATACAGACCGGCCTTTTAAAAAAAATTAATTTTTTTTTTGTATATTTTAACATAAAAAATCCTTTAAAAAATAACTATAACCACATTCCTAATCAAACAAACACTAACATGAAGCTAAAACTGCAATCAAGACTAGCTCAATGATACTCTTCAAACCCAGTTACCTAAACTGCAATCAAGACTAGCTCAATGATACTAAACCCAGTTGCCTCAAATTCAAATCCCACTGTTATGAATTCATTGATAATCTCAAAACCATTTTCTTTTTCAAAAAAATAAAAAAAAAAATGGTACTAACCGAATACACCTCAGCATCTACCTCCCGGAGTTGGTTGTCTGATCAACTGCTTAATAAAGCTAAAAGGCCCAGGCTAAAAGATAAACCAGGATTGAATTTAACAGCTCTTGCTGGGCAACATCTATTACATGCAATCAACGTGTTTATGTCTCAGTAGGCTGTTTTAACTTTCTGCATTCAATGACGATTTTCAGGATGGCGACGGCCTCAGTTTATCAACAGAAGATAGATAAGGGATAGAATTATGAAAAGGAAAAAAATAAAAAACATGCTTTGACAACGCAAAATGATGCAGCAACTCGTTCTCATTACAACACAACGGCAATTACAAGAGCTTTGCAACACGACAGGCACTAAGAGGCAAACTCTGCAAATAAAAATCACGCAGAAAATTCCAAAAGTGTGATATACCCAAGCAACAAAGAAGGGCATAAACAGCAGACACTCTATCATGTGTCACAATCATGTATTGACATCAAATCGAATCAACGAGGGGAAAAATGCATTGAAGCGACCCCTAGCCATCCAAGAAATTAAATAAATAAAATAGAAAAGTAGAAACCAGCATCGGCAACAGGAACTCAACCCAATTACCCGCCAGAGTGGGAGACGGGAGTGGTTTCAAACTGGCCATCCTTGAATGCATGAATGAACTGTTGTGGCAAAGCATGCTCCGCCTACAAATGAAGACATGGTAAGCCATTTCTAAGGAAATTACAAAGCAAAAATCTTCAAAAGAACAGCAAAACGGATCTGATTGTGATTTGAGCTGGCTATTAAGAGAGAGAAGGATTTGAGCATTAAGACCTCCACCCAACCCAAAGAGAAAGAAAAGAAAAGCAACATACACAATGGCGATGAACAAAATCTTTGCAGTCAAACATAGAAGGAACAAATCTAAAAGTTGGAAACATACCAAATCACCACCAGGCTCTGCACCAGGTACCAATACGTTGATCTCACTAGATTTAGCAGTAGTAATAGATGCCCCCAAGGAATCCTTGCTTAAATATAATTGACAGCCTCCCGTGTTGTCCACTGAAATTGTTGGGGCAGAACCCTAGAGCAGGGAACAAATTTGGTAGATGTAACTTTAGATCATGCTTGTATTCCATAAACTAAGCATCAACAACTATACATGTCCAATTACCAAAACAGTAATGACAAAGCCAAACATAATTTGAAATAACATACCTGGCATTGCACCTCAACACCACTGCAATTCACAATCTCACAAGCAGCCACCACATCCTATTTATCCCACAAAACAAACATTCAACTCAATAGGTGTAATAGTACCATGGTGCAGAAAACCATATTTGCATGTTTCTTTCAGACTTTCTCATACTAACCGTGAATACAATGCCCATCTTGGTGCATTTGTCAATTGTTATATTGTTAACTTTGCCTGCAAATAGTGAGAGCCAAAATAAGCTGCTTGCGGCTTTCTAAAAAGGAAAATAACATTGAGTAATATTTGTAAATGGATGGCGTGCATTTATACATTCTCACAGATTAAAAAATTACCTTGAATCTGCAAAACTGAATCTTTGCATCCAAAAATATATACAGACTGTTTTGCATCACAGTCATCAATTACTAAATTCTTTTTTCCAATTTGATTCTCAACGACCCACCTGCAAGAAGATGCAACCAAAGAGATAATATATGAATCACACCCCATGCTAGCCTCTGATGCTTTAATTTAAAATCAAATCATTTTGAAAATGATAGACACTCACTTACGACCCATTTGAAGCTCTAGTTTTGGAGGCCCTGCCTTGGAGAAAGAAGGTGCACTAGCACGGCCTTCTTTTTTAGTAACAGCAACAACACCAGTTCTATCAGCTCGGTTCTTTGTCTTCAAATCATCTGTGACCTTTTTAAGACCTGGGAAGAAAGAAACCAAAATCGATGAACCACGATATCCTTTGCTGAGGGACCTTTTTTTTAGAAGGTGAAGAAAAAGACTACCTGAAGTCACAGACTTGCCAGAACTAATTTCTTGGAAAACAGCAGCCATCCCTTCTTTTGGCTTTGATGATGATGGCTGAGAAGATTCAGAACTGAAAAGAGAAGCTGGTGGAGGAGGTGGAGGTGCAGGAGCGCTTGGTGCAGGAGCTTTTGGTGGAGCAGAGGCTGTTGCTTTGCCAGTAGTGCTCCAAACAGGGCCCAGGGGATATTGACTCTTAACATAGTCCCTCAAACCTGGTAAATATAGATCCTTCAAAGCCTTGGCCCATTCAACATGGTTTGGGTCTTTGCCTTTGTACTGTACAAGAATCTGAATTTTACAGCGCAAAATGTTTGCAAAAATCAATGTAGTTTTCAAGCTCACTAAATAACTTGTTTTCATGTGCAATTAGATAATGTGGGTACAGAGCAGTTCAATGCAGATATCAAACATCAAAATAAGAATGCAAGGGTCTACAGATGAATGACTTGGATAAAGTCATGTGGCATGGTCAAAATAAAATAAAGAAAAAAAAACAATGCAGGTTTGGGGCTAATTCTGCTCCATAAACATCCTTTTCAAGCTACCAGTTCTGTTTTCTTCCTAAAGCTAACAGTAATGAAGAGCATCTCTACTTTGTTGCAGTTCCCTGTAGTGAGATGCAAGGATCCAGCAAATCATAAAGTACCTTGTTACTGTAAAACTCAGCCATTTGCCAACTTTCTTCCACGTGCGCAATAGGCATGCTCATACCTCAAACAAGAAAAAAGCAGTATCAGGAAAACAAAAAGAAGGGAAAAAGAACTACATACTACTAGAATGTAGAAGTGACTACAAAATGTCCTTACCACAATCCTTTCCAGTGTAAGCAATCCAAGCTAAAGCTGTGAGACTATCAGCAGCTGCCTTCAAGTGGTTAAAGAAATCAGATCTCCTTCCCTCTGTCATTGAATTTGCTTTCATGATCACTTCATTCAATGGCTTGAGAAATTCAGCCAATCCTGCAAGATCAGGTTTCTGCACAAATAGAACAAATCATTCAACATCACCAAATTTCAATTTCTACAGTGGAAATGATACTGCCAATGAGATCAAAAGTTGACAACCCTCCCCTATCCAATCTTTTGTACCCTTCACTACTTCTATAGTAACCCCTTTTTTTATTCCCTCTTCAAGTTCTCTTTCAATGCTTAAATCATCAACTACATTAACCAACATAGAACAATGATAACATACAGAACTCTATGTCCATGTCACTCCTCTAAAAAAGTACAATCACATAAGGATCTTGTCTCCCTAATTATGATATGCTTTTCTTATTAAATATTCTAGCACATTATCATGCAACAATAGCCATTCTAAGTTAGAGTTTGTCAACGAAACACTACTTCAGAGAAGACACTTTGCACAAATCTAAAATTACCAGTGATTTCTCAAATAATTTCTTACCAAACGAAATATCCATGCTATCTCGTATCATTTCAAGTTCTAATTACAAGGGGAGAAGGCCATTCTCATCAAATCTTTCATTCAAAAAGAGAATATTTACGGGGAACTAAATAAAACCGATTTGTCAAACTACTATTATGAGACTAAATCAGACTTCACTCAACACCCATCCATGACAAATCAAAATGTACCGGATCAAGCAAACAGTTAAAACTATAAAATCTATATATGATTAAACAGTCCCAGCAAAATATTAACAAACTCCTCAAGAGACGGTTAAAAAAACTCAAATCAGCCAAAACCACCTAAATCAAACTATAATTCTTTCACTTCAAGAGCTATCTAATACAGCGAATCACGATCAAATTCAAGCTACATAATCACTTCAAACTCAATATTGTCCTTCCATCATTAAAGCCAAAAAACCACATACATTTTAATGGCGCCAACTTCTTAATTTAAAGCTAAAACCTCCAAAACATAATAAATAAATCAGTACCCGAGTTTGCTTGATTTTGATAAGAAGTTCCTTTTGTGCATTAAGAGCTTGTCCTAGAATCCTCGTGACTTCTAAAACTTGTCCTCCAATCTTTTCCGCGGCACTCGAAACCCTACCAAAGAATGTCCCAATGAAATCATCAAACGCCACAATCGACGGATCCGTCGCCGCGGAATCATCTCCGCCACTCACAGCCACACCTCCACTCCCCAGAGACAGCGCTTCCAATCGCGCCACCGCTGATTCTAGCCTCTCTATCAGTTTCTCCTCCATCGCCCCTTCCCAGTCCCTCTCTTTCTCTCTCTAAAAACTCGATAACGTTTCTCTCTGTAAAACGGTGTAGTTTCGTTTCGGACAGTAGATCTGGTGGGGACGCCTGTGGAAGCTTTATGCGTGTAATCAATGAGAGAATGTTCTCTCTCTGTTGTTTCCTTTTTCGTAATTAGGCACCGAAAGGCACAAAAAGGAAAGATAAGAAGAAGGTGGCGATGGTAATTTTGGAGTTTCTGGCGGGTTTTTCCATAGTGACACGTGTTAGTTTCAGAGTGAAACTTTGCTGATTTTACGTCGTCAGGACGAACACCTGCTAGGTGGTAACTTGTGAATTATGACGACTTCACTATTTGTTGCGGAAAATTAAATATTAGAGGAACAAATGTACGTGAAAACCAGTGTTATATTTTAAATTCGGTGATGAAGTCGTGGTCAATTAAAATGAGGTTGTGCGATAATAGTTGTGGTTTTTTAATATATTAAAATAATATTATTTTTATTTTAAAAAATTATTTTTAATATCAGTATATTAAAATAATTTGTTAACATTAAAATATATTAATTTAAAAATAAAATAATAAAAAAACTTTAAATTGTTTTTAAAATATTTTGTAAGCACAGTGCAAACACTCTCTAGGCGGGGGAGATGCGAGTGTGGGTCAAGGATCGGAGATTCGTGTGATTGATTGCCCCCTATCAACCCTCAGCGTCGAAATTTTTTGAAGAGCATTCAGCATAATTGAAATTAATTCTGAACTTTCTTATAATATTTTATTACAATTATTTAATATATCTCTTTTAGTTGTGAGCCATTTTCGATTTATAAATGAAAACATAATCACAGCACTCATTGTATAGATGTCACGGCTGACACTCATTTTACATGAGAAAAATATTTTTTATTTTAAAAAATATATGATAGATTCTATAAATATTTATATCCAGATCCATTAGGATTTGTATTGGCAGATGAAAACCTATTCAAACCCGCAAAGTTATGATCTTGTTAAACCAACAATATTCAAATTTACTATAATCTGTTGTATTAACAATCTTTTACGAGATCTCTTATTTTGAATGATCATAAAAATTTTAATTAATATATATAACATTCAGTGTTTTTTATTAACTACAAAGGAAACAGAAAATTTTTTTGACTTAATTTTAACCCAAGTCGAGTTTCAAGTTATATAAAAAATAGTAAATTAATAAAATTAGATTTGCAGAAAAATATAGTTTTAATAAAAATAATTAGTCCAAATTGATAAAGTGAATAGATTCATTACTTAAGCAACCTTCACACTTTTTGTATCTTTTTTATTGTGTTTAATAAAAAAATAATTTTAAAATATATTAAATTTTGAAAAACAAATTGACATTAATGCATCAATATCATTAAAAATAATAATAAATATAATACTTTTTAGATGAAATACAATTTTATAATGAATAAAAAAATAAAAGCCATAACAAAAGGAGAGTTTTGATACGCATTAGACGCAGGACATGAATAAAGCATCATCATTATTGCCTGGAATATTTTTTATTTTAAAAAATATATGATAAATTCCATAAATATCGGTATCTAGATCCATTAGGATTTATATTTGATAGGAAATGTTTGAAGGAGTCTTGCAGAATAAAAATTATCTCTATCTGTTAGGGATTGTGGCAGTCAAAGAAGACCACTTCTCCAACCACAATATATGTGATGTAATTCACGTATTAACAGTAGCTAGTTTTTCTCAATTTCTGTTTGTAAGAAGTTGTATTTAAGCAGCATTGATTTTCCAAATAAATATCAAGCATTTTCATCAATCTTGTGAGCTTTATTAATTGTTCTTAAGGTTCCAACAGTGGTATCAGAGCCCCTACTGGGTTACCTGACTGTAATAGACTTAAACACAATAAAAGGGTGCAGTTCGACAATAAGGAGTGAAGAAAATGAGTGAGGATAAGAGCCTGACGAAGATCCCTCATTTCGATGGTCAACATTATGATCATTGGAGTGAGTTGATGGAAAATTTGCTGCGAGCAAAAGGACTATGGAGTCTTGTGGAAATCGGTATTCAGGAGCCGATTATTGGGAGTGCATTGAGCACCACGCAACAGGCACAACATGATGATACAAAGATGAAAGATCATCAAGTGAAACACTATCTATATCAAGCAATAGATAGGGTTACATTTGAACAGATCTTAGACAGGCGCACTTCAAAGATCGTGTGGGATTCCTTGAAGAGCAAGTTTGGAGGAAATGCAAAAGTGAAGAAATCTCTTCTCAACACACTGAGAAGAGACTTTGAGATTTTGCAGATGAAGCAAAGTGAGTCCATCACCGAATACTTTGCTAAAGTGACCTCAGTGGCTAACCAAATGAGGAGTAATGAGGAAACTATGCAAGACACAAAGGTAGTCGAAAAGGTACTTAGAACCCTGACAGAAATGTTTACTTATGTGGTGGTTTCGATAGAAGAATCCAAGGATGTGAGCACAATGACAATTGATGAATTGCAAAGTTCTCTTGTCGTGCATGAAGCCAAGTTCAAGAGGTTGGATAAAACTTGAGAAGAGGAGCAAGCACTGCATGCTTCAATTAGAGAAGACAGAATCAACAGGGGCAGAGGAGGTGTCCATTTCAGAGGACTAGGCAGAGGGAGAGGAAGACAAACATTTGGCAGAACTACGGCAACATGTTATAAATGCCATAAACCAGGGCATCTTTAGTTTGAATGCCCTACCTGGGAAAGAAATGCACATTACGTGGAACTGGATGATGAAGAAGAGCTTCTCCTCATGGCTCATGTGCAGATGGGGGGATCCAGCAGAGAAGACGTTTAGTTCATCGACTCAGGATGTTCCAATCACATGACAGGCAACAAGAAGTGGTTTATTAGCTTGGATGAGAATTTTTCACACGCTGTGAAGCTGGGAAATAATGCCCGAATGCAAGTTATGGGACAAGGAAGCGTGAAGCTGAGAGTACAAGGAAGAACACAGATTGTAAGTAATGTCTTCTATGTGCCAGACTTAACAAACAATCTGTTAAGTGTTGGGCAGCTACTAGAGAAAGGGTTGAAAATGGTAATGCAGAAGGGAACCTGCAAGATTTTTCATCCAATGAAGGGGCTGATTGTGCACACTCACATGACTACAAACCGAATGTTTGTTATGCTTGCTGAACAACACAACGATGCATGTCTGCAAGTAACACAAGAGGATCTCACTGGACTGTGGCATAGATGTTTTGGCCACTTACATCAGAAGGGACTCAAGTGCTTGGAACATAAGCAAATGGTTGAAGAGATGTCGAAAATTAAAGAAACAAACAAAGTATGTGAAGTATGCAGTAAAGGGAAGCAGCACTAGGATGAAATGCCTAAGAAAGCTAACTGGAGAGCATAAAAAAAATTGCAGCTCATTCACAGTGATCTTTATGGACCAATCACTCCAACCACCATGAGTAACAAGAGGTATATTCTGACTTTCATCGATGACTTCAGCAGGAAAACATGGATTTATCTGCTTGCCGAAAAAGGAGAAACTTTTGAGAAGTTCAGGCACTTTAAAACTAAAGTTGAAAAAGAGACAGGAATGAGCATCAAGTGTCTTAGGAGCGATCGAGGAGGGGAATACACTTCCCAAATTTTGCTGGATTTTTGCAGCACTCAGGGAATAAAAAGGCAGCTCACCACATCATACACTCCTCAGCAAAACAGAGTTGCTGAACGTAAGAACCGAACTCTCATGAACATGGTTCGTTGTTTGCTTGTGGAAGGAAGAATGCCAAGGAGTTTCTGGGCAGAAGCAGCAACTTGGTCTGTGCACATCATCAACCGAAGCCCTACTGCAGCAGTTACAAATAAAACCCCAGAAGAATGCTGGACTAGAAACAAACCAAATGTAGCACATTTCAGGATTTTTTGATGTGTTACATACGTGCATGTACCAAATGAGAAGAGGATCAAGCTAGAAGATAAAAGCTATAAATGTATATTCTTGGGAGTCAGTGAAGAATCCAAAGCCTATAGGCTTTATGATCCCGAGAGCAAGAAGATTGTCACCAGTAGAGACGTAATTTTTGTTGAGGAGGAGACATGGAACTGGGGGAGGAAAAATGATGAAGAATTAACATGGGATGATGCAGATTCTTTCAATGGAATAGACAAAGAAGAAGGAGATGGCATTACAACAGACAGAGATGAAGTGGAAATACCAGGAGAACAGACTGTTGAACAGACTGCTGCACAAACCGAGGAAACAAGGAGACCAGCTTTTATCCCATCCTCTCAAAAAAATCGAAGGGAGCAGACAAGGAGAATTAGCATACCTCCAAGACACCTACAGGATTATGTAACTGGTGAAGATCTTGCAGAGCAAGAAGAAGAAGAGCAATACTTGGTGCTCTATGCTGCTGAAGAAGATCCAGTGAAGTATGATGAAGCGGTGAAGGACATCAAATGGAGAAAAGCCATGGACGCCGAAATACAAGCTATCGAAAAAAATAATACATGGGAGTTAGTAGCGCTGCCTAAAGGGATGAAGAAGATCGGAGTGAAGTGGGTTTTTAAAACTAAGTTGAATGAAAAAGGTGAAGTCGACAAACACAAGGCGAGACTGGTTGTGAAGGGCTATGCACAAAGACAAGGAATAGACTACAGCGAAGTATTTTTGCCAGTCGCTAGATGGGACACCATCAGAATGCTATTATCTCTCGCTGCGCTGCGAGGTTGGGAAGTATTCCAGCTGGATGTAAAAAGCGCATTTTTTCACGGAGAACTGAAGGAGGTTGTTTATATTGAACAACCTGAAGGATACATTCGAAAGGGAGAGGAACAGAAGGTATATCAACTGAAGAAGGCATTATATAGACTGAAACAAGCTCCTAGAGCTTGGTACAACCGGCTAGAGGACTACTTTGCTGGTGAAGGTTTCGAAAAATGCAGCTATGAACACACTTTGTTCATGAAAAAGGAAGGAGGAAGATTTTTGGTGGTAAGCCTTTATGTGGATGATTTAATATTTACCAGTAATGACTTGAAGTTGTGTGTAGAATTTAAGGCTTCCATGCAATCAGAATTTGATATGACTGATCTAGGGAGAATGAAGTATTTTTTTGGGTGTTGAGATACATCAAACAGAGGCTGGGATCTTCTTATGTCAAGGGAAATATGCAAGTGAAATACTTGCAAGGTTCGGAATGGGCAGCTGCAATGCAGTTAATAATCCAATGGTTCCAGGAACTAAGCTATCATCTCAAGAGAAAGAAGAAGAAATTGACAGCACTGAATACAAACAATTGATTGGCAGCCTTATATACATCACAACAACTCGACCTGATATAATGTATGTGGTAAGTTTTTTAAGCAGATTCATGGCTGCAACAAAGGAAGGACACTTACTAGCCACAAAAAGAATACTCAGGTATTTGAAGGGGACAATGAATTTTGGTATTTTCTACAAAAGAAGCTCGGATAACACTTTTAAAGGATATACGGATAGTGACTTTGCGGGTGACCTAGATGGAGGAAAAAGTACATCGGGATATGTATTCATGATGGGAGATGGTGCGGTGGCATGGAGCTCTAAAAAGCAACCGATAGTTACTCTATCAACTACCGAGGCAGAATATGTAGCAGCCACAGCTTGTGCATGCTAAAGTATCTGGATGAGGGAAGTTTTAAACAGCATCGAAGAAGATCTTTGCAAATGTGTTACGGTGTTCTGCGATAATAGTTCATCCATCAAATTATCCAAGAATCTAGTATTTCACGGGAGGACAAAGCATATCAACGTAAAATTTCAATTCATTCGCGATCTTATCAAGAAGGGAGATGTAGAGCTCATTTACTGTGGAACTAAGGAGCAACTAGCAGACATCATGACAAAACCACTCAAACTCGAAGATTTTGTAAAACTTCGAATGCTCTTAGGAGTACAAGAGAAGAAGAATTTAAACTGAGCATACACGCAGCATGCTCAGTTTAGGGAGGATATGTATTTATATTTGATAGGAAATGTTTGAAGGAGTCTTGCAGAATAAAAATTATCTCTATCTGTTAGGGATTGTGGCAGTCAAAGAAGACCACTTCTCCAACCACAATATATGTGATGTAATCCACGTATTAACAGTAGCTAGTTTTTCTCAATTTCTGTTTGTAAGAAGCTGTATTTAAGCAGCATTGATTTTCCAAATAAATATCAAGCATTTTCATCAATCTTGTGAGCTTTATTAATTGTTCTTAAGGTTCCAACAATATTGGCAGATGAAAACCTATTCAAACCCGCAAAGTTATGATCTTGTTAAACCAACAATATTCAAATTTACTACAATATGTTCTATTAACAATCTTTTACGAGATCTCTTAGTTCGAATGATCATATAAACTTTAATTAATATTTATAATATTGAGTGTTTTTTATTAACTATAAAGGAAACAGAAAAAGTTTTTGACTTAATTTTAATCCAAGTCGAGTTTCAAGTAATATAAAAAATATTAAATTAATAAAATTAGATTTGGAGAAAAATATAGTTTTAATAAAAATAATTAGTCCAAATTGATAAAGTGAATAGATTCATTAATTAAGCACCCTTCACACTTTTTGTATCTTTTTTATTGTGTTTAATAAAAAAATAATTTTAAAATATATTAAATTTTGTAAAAACAATTTGACATTATTGCATCAATATCATTAATAATAATAATAAATATAATACTTTTTAGATAAAATACAATTTTATAACGAATAAAAAAAATAAAAGCCATAATAAAAGGAGAATTTTTTTTTTTTTTAGATTAACGTGGGTGTCCGGACCAGTTTGCGCGCACCATGACTAATCCCACGGGTCCTAAAGTTAATGACTATGTAAGTCTTCAGTAGCCATTATATAAGCAACTAAGAATTTAAACTTAAAATTATAGAGAAAATAAACCCTTTAATCTCAAGTTTTTATCACTTGAATAAAGCATCATCATTATTGCCTGCTAGAGTAGGTTCCTCCACTCACACTCCACTTCAGAGAACCATTGATTTCCATCGTGTCTCGCGACGGGATTCTCTCAATGCTGATCATGTGGGAGGCACAAGAGTTTCCTAATGGTTATATATCCCAAAAATTCCGCCACATCAATATTTTTGGTAGAACAAGGGATACCTCTCTTACGTACGAGGGGGGTAGTTAGGTTTCGAATTTAAACCAGGAAAAGATGGAGCTGGATTTATGGAAGGAGGCGAGACACTGACATTTTCACTCTGCAGCCCAAGTCTGAAAGTCGATTGAAGTCGAATAATGAACTAAAAAAACGGAGAGATAAACTATTACATCTAGAAGTATCAAAGCTAAAGAAATCATTTATATTTGCTAGCTTGGCTAATGATACATTACAATAGAATAGAAGATGATCGAATAATTTAATTTGTATATAGCGATTTGATGCATTTATATGGCCTGGTTCAAATTTAAATACCACGGCTACACCGATCCAGCGCCTCCCGTGCACGCATCACTCACCGACGCACGGTCGCTCGAGCAGAAGCGGGCAGTTGCTGCTGGATAGGACTCGGCAACGGTGACTGCTACACTGCGAGTCCCATAAAAGGATGATAAAAACAGAATCGCTGCCATGATGATGGTGACAGATGGTTTCATCCCCTAGCACGGTCTTTGGCAATGAGGTTGGTGACCAGTTGAATTTTGAAGCATTAGCATTTTGTCCCTACTGAAACATGGCACCACCGGATACTTGGTGACCAGTTGAATTTTGAAGTTCAAAATCCCCAGATACTTGGAGTCACAATTATCTCAAGCCCAAGCAAATCGAAGATTAATGGCTGCATTAAGGATATTAATACAACTGAGAAAGTTGAATCTAAAGGCATCTAAAAGGGGTGAAATATATATTGACTTTTAAGCTCAACTAGCCTTCATCCAACATTCCACGATGTCATTCATATCAAGCAGGTTGCAAATTACTTGTCAACATGTCAATATTTACAAAGCTCACTTAATTACTTGCTGCAATATATCAGCAAAGAAAGACAACCAAGAAGGTGGGAAGCGTAAATATGATATATGCACATCGAAGACATGTAATTACTTCTTCGTATATTTGTGGAAAATTATACTGCAAAATAATCTGAATTCAGCAACTACTAAGTTTCAAATGTGGTGAACAATCATCTTCGCCTTGATCTCTCTACATCAGCACCACTACCAGCAAGCTTGGTTGGATGTGGAATTTTGTCGGAGATAGAATCAGTGGAAGGTAGAGTATCATTCTCTCGAACTGCTCGAAGTTCCTGCACAGGCCAAATAGCAGCTTGAAGCAGATGAAAGGAAATAAAAGAAGGCATTTGTGTGCTTTCTTGTTGAAGAGGAAAGAGTTACCATGTTACTAAAATTACAAAGCTTAGCCAATCTAAAACGCATATAAGCATCCTTTCTGTTTTGTATTTAGTCCAAAAATATGCTTTTCTAAATTTCTAGAATCTTGATGGTTTATTTGCCAACTACAAGGCTATGCAAAATCTAATCTGTAGAATATGCTGTATTGCTTATGCAAGCAACACAGACGATGTGAATTCAATTACAAGTAACATTAGTTGGATATCACACCATGGAATTAGGTAAAGCTTACACATCAAACAGTTTTGATGAAAATGATGACATGAAAAATAGTAAGCATGGGAGGACTTACAGTACGAAAAGGAAACTCTTCTGCCTCAAGCATATGAACAATTTGCCCCATTTTTGGTCTCTTACAGGAATCCAAATCTATACACCGGAGGCAGACCAGCAACGTTCGTTTCAAAGCCCTTGGAGCAGGCTGCACTTCAATGAGGGGATCTACAAGCTCTTCTGCACGACGGCTTGCTACCATTCCTTTGAACCAATCAACCAAGTTCATCTGACAAACCAATTGAAGGGTGTTATGATGGAGATACAATTTTCAATACAGATGCTTACAAGGGGAAACTTCTTTTCACCTCTCCAGCTGGTCTGGAGTAATCAATAGGACTCCTTCCAGTAATCATCTCCATAAGAAGAATTCCAAAACTGTATACATCGCTCCCCTCGTTAAGCATACCCGTGCTTGCATAATCAGGAGATACATATCTGGAGCAAATGGTGATAAAATATGTCAGTGTAGAGTAAAGATAAAGAAATGTTATCCAAATTTAAATTCAACCACCTCATTACAAATATTCAAATACAATTTTGAAAAGATACACACCCAAATGTCCCCATGACACGTGTAGTCACATAGCTTGCTTCAGAACCCAAGAGCTTGGCCAATCCAAAATCTGAGACCTTGGGGTTCCATTTTCTATCGAGAAGTATGTTACTGGATTTTACATCCCGGTGAACAACTTTAGGTTCTAAACCTTCATGTAAATAGGCTAGCCTGCATCAGAGATGGGAAACATAGAAGTTCAGGAACAAAAAGAGTAGAAGAATTTTTCAATGGGAAAGATTAAGAAAGAGAAGGGGGGAAATTTAAAGTCTGATCTTTGATGTTAATGTCTATTCACAATGACTAAAATTCTTGAATCTTTGCCGAGGAAGAATAAAATATCAATCCTCAAGAAAGAGTGAATCTGAATGGAAGCACAAAATAACACAACCGACACAAACTAAAACTACCCCCACTAAACTTCTGCAACGACAAAATTGATGGCAATTCTGTAGACTGAACTTTGTAGGTGCTCACGTATGAAGATATATCAAATAGACTGATTAAAATCAATTTGATATGAAAAGCAAAAAGTAATTAGCCCCCATTATTACTGATCAATCACTGGGAGGACAACTAAGACATGAAACTAGAGCCTAGAGTACCGCACCCTTTTGCTGTCCCAATTGCAATCTTCATTCGAATATCCCAGGTCAGAGGACTAACAGGACCTACATCACCATGTAACCATTGCTCCAAGTTTCCATTGTCAACATATTCATAAACAAGCATCCTGCAAGGCCAGAAACAGTTCCCATGAAAATGAACAAGATAAATTTCATTTCGTTGAACTTAAAATAGATGGGTAGAACTTGGATGTGAGAAATACCTGCGAGCACCTTCTGCACAGTACCCAATTAGGCGCACTAAGTTCTTATGTCTTACTTTTCCAATGGCTTCAACTTCCACCTTAAACTCTTTCTCCGCCTGACCCCTAGAAATACAAAGTTCACAGCATATGAAGTTCCAACGGGATCATTCTTATAGTGCACAGATATTACAAGACTTGAGCTTTTGATGAGAATATTCATAACATGGTCAGAGAACTCTGTAACAATAATTAGGAAAAAACAAAAAAACTCCTGTAACGAATCAGAGCAACAGTGTTTAGTTAACAGTGATTTCATTACAAAATCATGGAACATTTTCAGGATTTCTTATATTCCACTTTCTCTCCAACAGCGAAAAAAAACCCTTCGCTTCTTCACTCCAAATTCCAAAGCCAATTCAGCTCCAAAAAAGAAAAAGAAAAACTAAAAGTAGTTTAATGAGATCGATCCTTTGTCATTTCAATAAGAAAATAAAGCCTTGCCATTCATAAATCGAAAGGACAAAAAGAGAAAGGTCCAAAAAACAAAAAAGCCTCCTAAGCTCAAAGGTATTAAGATAATGTTTAGGAAGTGCAAACCATTGGATAATGAAAATGAAAAAGAAAAAGAAAAAAAGAACAAAGCAACCCTCTACTTTAATTCCCTACTAGACAACCTCTAGTACTCCATCATCAAAGGACCAAAACTTTGCCATCATAAACAAAGCAGTTAAATACAAAAAGGAAAACAGAAACTATAACAATCAGAACAAAATATACAAAAACTAAAAAATAATTGAAACAAAAACTGAATACTCACTTATTATTAAGTAAATTCTTGACAGCAACCACAGACCCACCTTGCAAAACACCTCTATAAACAACACCATACCCTCCTTCACCAATCACATTTTCTTCAGCAAATCCACGTGTCGCGATCTCAAGCTCTTTCAAACTATACCATCGACCCCATCCTATGTTTTCATCCACCGACGAAACGTCGTCAGTACTACTACAACCACTCTCTCCACTCTTCTTTCCCATCTCCAGATCACCACCACCACCAACATTCTCCGTCTTTTCAAAACCCACATTTCCCATTTTCCCCTCATCTTTCTCTTTATTTTCCAAAACCAAATCTTTAACCTCCGCAATTTCTTTAGACACTAATGGGATCGAACCCGAACTGTGTTTCACTCTCATTTTATTGCGTTTTCTAGCCGCGCGGCGTAAACGAACACAGAGGAATATTGAAAAAGAAACCAAGATGATACAGAGGAAGAGAACTGCGATTAAGACATAGAGTTTAAGATTCAAAAATGGCGTTTGAGAGGCTAGTTTGTGAGGGAGAGAGTTGTAGTAGTTGGCGGTGATGTTTGTTTCAGTATCTGAATCCGACATGGATTCGAACTTTCTCGGAAATGTCAAGGAAAGAAAATTTTAGTGTTTTTTTGCTGAGAAAATAGAGGAAATTTTGCGAGTTTAGTGCTTGGTGCTGTAAGAGAAAGGGGAGAGAGAGAGAGAGAGGGTGTGTGGAGAGACTACAAGTCTGTTTTTTCGACGTATACAAGCTACAGAGAGAGAGAGAGAGAGAGAGAGAGTGTGGAGAGACTACAAGTCTGTGTTTTTTCGACGTATACAAGCTACGAAAAGTGAAAGGAGACGTTAAGTGATTAGTCGTTAACTCTTGGGTTCGGTGTAGGCGATTATTACGACAATGCCACTGCTTTGTGATGACAGATTTGTCGGGATCGCAATTTTGCCTGACCCGGACAATACCCGGCCCGACACGCCCGCCCGACTCTCACCATGATGTCGGGTATAGATGGATGTGGCCTGTGATACCCCCCATTCATAACGGTCCCATCCTTCAATATATCCTGACCTGGCAAATAAATAATACCATGATTTCACAATTTTATTTTTATATATACATTATTAAATTTTATTACATGTAATAACTCATTGCATAAGATAATTCACATGTACATGAATATAAAAAAAGGGCTGGAAAGAATTAGAAATTTAACCTAATTACTAGACCTTACGCCACTGAGCTACAAGCTGCTTGGGTAATTTAACCTAAATTACTAGTATTATATAGTGTTTGATTGAAATTCAATCGAATTCCATTCAAATCAAGTATACGAGAAGACAAGGCCCAACTCCATCCAATCCATTGCATCCCACACTTGAGCGAATTTGAAAAGGACATGATTTGATTTTCTTGCTTTTGTATTAAAGGATGGTTCATACTTTGATGTTGAATTAGGAGGAGGGAATCATCATAATATAAGAATCCAAGGATGTAGATTGGTGGTATGATTGCAACGTATTTGTTTGCTGGTTACTTCCTTTAACTTGGTGCTGGTCTGCCTTTTTCTCCTTGTAGAACAAGCTTGGATGCCTGCAATAATGCATGTCTACATGTTTGATCAGGGTCAAACTTCGCCGCAGCAGGGGATAGGTTGAGTAAAGCATGTGTTGTGACTGTCGAACGAGGAACAGAGCCTTGGGTATACTTTGGAACTATGCTCCCTCCGTTCAGATGAAGCTCATGAGAGTAAGCAGAAGGTGATTTCTCATAAAATCTTCGTGCACGGTTGGTAACTGTTATGAATAGGACCACCAAGGTAAATTGATTTCTACGTGCTGTCACAAAATCGGTGTGAATATTATTACCTAAATGTTCCGCCTGTTGTCATCAAAGTTTGCCTGTTGATCGAAGTAAGTGCTCTGGCTGGCTGGCTGACTAGCTAGTGGAATT